TAAGATTGAAAATTTGCATGAAGGCTTTAAATTTCAAACTTAATGGTTTATGAATGGTTTTGTCATTTTAAATTCTTTAAATTCTTTCAATTTTAAATTCTGCAAGTAACTCAAACAACAACTCTATGTGCCCGGAACTCCCCGACAAGTTGGCTTTTAGCCTTAACTTGGTCAACTTCAAGGAATGGGAGGAGGAACTCAGGAAAACTCTTCAGAATTGTTCCTTGGAGTACACTCTTGATACTCCCATTCCAAGCTTCTTCTCTAAGGGAATCATGAGCGATGAAGCTCATGATAAATGGTCTTCCATCCCAGAAGATTGGAAGGAAAAGCTCTCCTTCTATTTTCCGGACATATTTCTCAAAGCACTTGAGGATTTTGTCAATATAAGAGTCACCAAGAGTGACAATGGAAACTATGATGGACTCGTGTTTGATTTGACTAGGTCACTCTCAAACATGAAGATAAAGCCACCGGATGTGGGCTGTCTTGCTAAGGAAAGGCGTCGGCTTTGGTTAAGGGTCTATAATACCAAATTGAGGCCCGGTATGCCCCTCCAACCTCATGTACTTGGAATGACTAGGCTCTTCAAGCACATGCAGCTTCTCAAATCTCATTGGAGGATGAGATGGCGGGACATATCTTGCTTGCTTCACTCCACTCGGGCTATGATGCACTTAGAGTGCATATAGTTGCGGGAAAGGAGACACGCTCTTTATGAGAGGTGGTGCAATTGCTTAGCCAAGCCACCTCCTATGGAGTGACTGAAAGGCCCTTGAGATCAAGGAAGAGAGAGTTCAAGAACAAGGCGAAGATGCGATGTTTCTATTGTGGTAGGCAACGCCACTACAAGAGGGAATGCAAGCTCTTCCGAAAGGACGAGGAGGAGAGGAATGTGGCATCTGCCTCAGGTATCTTCATTAACACTTGTGTATAAAGCTATTCATAGGTATTGGATACCATGTGTAACTCACTTTATGTTTCCTTTTCAGGAACCAAGTGAGAGGGCTTCACAAGTGGATGTTCAATGACAAGCGGACGACAAAGGTGGTCTTTCGATGGTGCTTGTAGGCACATTTATTTTGTCTATGGCTTGAAACTAAACAATGGTTGTTTCTCATGCTTTTGAACATACTTTTGATCTATGGTGTTGGACACCAAGTTACTTTGATCACAAGACTTAATCAATGGTTGGTTTTTTGAAATGTCTTGGTTATATGTTCTATAAAATTGCATGTTTTACATATGTTTAGACAAATTAGTGATACCGCTAAAAGAACTAAGACCATTGAGTCGAATCAAACCTACTTGTGCCATTGTCGTCATGGCCACATTAACATCAAACACATCAAGAAACTTCTTCAAGAAGGTGTTCTTGACTCATTAAACTTAGAGTCATTTGAAAATTGCAAAGGATTTCTATTAGGCAAGATGATAAAGAAGTCATTCTCCAAGTTGGGAGAAAGGGCTAGTGACTTATTAAGTCTAATACATACGGATGTATGTGGACCAATGAGTTCACCCGCAAGGCATGGTTATAGATATTTCATTACCTTCACAAACGACTATAGTCGATATGGCTATGTGTACCTTATGTCGAACAAATCTGAATCCTTTGAGAAATTCAAAGAGTTTTAGAGTGAGGTTGAAAATCAGCTTGGCAAGAAAATCAAAGTGCTTCGATCGGGTCGAGGTGGCGAGTATTTGAGCCATTAATTCGACGATCACTTGAAAGAAAATGGCATTCTTTCAGAGTTGACACCTCCCGGAACTCCACAATGGAACGGAGGAATCGAACCTTGTTAGACATGGTTCGATTAATGATGGGTCTTAGTGAACTTCCTATCTCTTTCTAGGGACACACACTTCTAACAGCGGCACTAACTCTGAATCGTGCTCCGTCAAAAGCTGTTGAAAAGACTCCATATGAATTATGGACGAAGAAACCTCCATGGTTGTCTTTTCTTAAGATTTGGGGTTGCGAAGCACACATCAAGAGATTAATTTCTGACAAACTTCACCCAAAATCTAACAAGTGTTTCTTTGTGGGCTACCCAAAAGAAACCAAGGGGTATTACTTCTACAATAATTCCGAGAATAAAGTGTTTGTTGCTCGTGATGGTGTATTTTTGGAGAAGGAACACCTTTCCAAAATGACAAGTGGGAGGAAAATCGAATTCGACGAAGTTCAAGAGGTCGAGCAACAAAGTCAACCTGACAAAACTGACAATCAAAGTGCTTTAAAAGCAGTTAATGAAATTAGTCAGAGTCAAACCGACAATGCAAATGCTCAACCTATTACCCTGCGTAGGTCGCAACGGCCAAGATCTCAACCAGACAGATTCCTTGGTATTGTCTTAACCAAAGATCAAGACATCGTAGTTATGGATGGTGATGAGCAAGCGACTTACAAACAAGCTATGACGAGCCCCGACTCTGCAAAATGGAAAGAGGCCATGAAATCCGAGATGGACTCCATGTTAGGAAATTAAGTCTGGGACATGGTTAATTTTCCTGAAGGTTACAAACCTATCGATTGCAAATGGATTTTCATGTTGAAAACAGACAAAGATGGAATGTATCTGTATACAAAGCTAGACTGGTGGCAAAAGGTTACAAGCAAATTCACGGAGTTGATTATGATGAAACCTTTTCGCCAGTCGCAATGCTTAAGTTCGTCCGGATTATCCTAGCGATTGTTGCATATTACGATTATGAAATATGGAAAATGGATGTCAAAACCGCCTTCCTTAAGGGGATTTTGGAAGAAATTGTGTATATGACACAGCCGGAAGGTTTTGTTGATCCAAGCAATGTTGGGAAGGTATGCAAGCTTAAGAAGTCCATTAATGGACTAAAGCAGGCAAGCAGAAGTTGGAATCTGCGATTCGATGAAGCCATTAGTAAGTTTGGTATTATTAAGAATCTAGATGAGTCTTGTGTTTACAAGAAGGTCAGTGAAAGTGACATTGCATTCCTAGTCTTATATGTCGATGACATATTACTCATTGGAAACAACACTAAACTGTTAAAGTCCATAAAGGGTTGGCTTGGTAAGTGCTTTTCAATGAAGGACTTAGGAGAGGCATAGTATATATTAGGCATCAAGATCTATAGGGATAGATCTAAGAAGATGATTGGATTAAGCCAAAGTACTTATACTGATAAGGTACTGGAACGATTCAACATGGAAGGGGTTAAAAGAGGGCATCTACCCATGTCCCATGGCATAACTCTCAGCAAGAAGCAATGTCCATAGACACCTGATGAGCGAGAGAGGATGAGTCAGATTCCATATGCTTCGCTGATTGGATCGATCATGTATGCCATGATATGTACTAGGCCAGATGTGTCGAATGCCTTGAGTGCTACGAGCCGATACCAATCAGACCTAGGAGAGGCACATTGGACTGCGGCCAAGAATATCCTACAGTAACTGAAAAGGAACAAGGATAAATTCCTGATCTATGGTGGATGTAATGATTTGGTTGTTGAAGGTTATACTGACGCGAGCTTCCAGACTGATAGAGATGACTCTAAGTCGCAGTCGGGGTACATATTCTGCCTTAATGGAGGAGAGTTTAGTTAGAAGAGTGCTAAGAAGAGCACCACTGCAGATTCTACAACTGAAGCCGAATACTTGGCAGCTTCGGAAGCAGCTAAGGAGGCACTTTGGATTCGTAAGTTCATTGGTGAACTTGGTGTTGTACCCTCTATTCGTAAGTCTAATAGACCTCTACTGTGATAACAATGGACCTGTTGCTCAAGCCAAGGAGCTAAGGGAACAACAGAAGTTCAAACATGTCAAGCGGCGATTTCACATGATAAGGGAATGGAAGTCCGAGGGTGAAATCAGAATTTGTAAGATTGGAACGGACGACAATGTAGTCGATCCATTGACTAAACCTTTGCCTTAAGTGAAGCACAAAAAGCACGTTTAGGCAATGGGGATCAAGCATGTTGGAGATTGGCTTTGAATTCCCTGTATATGTGTTTTAATTAAACTTGATGTTTTAATGTAAAACACTATGTTGAACCATTCAATTTTGGAGCAATTAAATTTTCAACAAATTTATTATTACTCCATTTCTGTTTAGTTATTGTTTAGAACTAAGTAATAAGTCCATTCGATTATTGAGATATTCAAAACAGGGTATCAAGACCATGTCTTGGATAAAGAAACACCTATTAAGTGAACATTGAATATTTTAATCGAAAATCATCCCTAATCATGGTCATATAAATGATGGACTATTAATGACCAATTGAGATTAGTGTGTAATATGATTTATAACACTGTTTCTTGTGCTACGAGACATGATTGTCATAAATCATTTGCACATGTACTAGTTTGGAACTCAACCGGATCGACCAGTGAGAATACTTTAAGAGATATCAAATCGTCTTAAGTATAATTGCACACTTTTCTGGAAGGACAAGTGGGAGATTGAACGGAATGATGTCCTTCCAACAAGTGTATTATTCCGATAGAGGGTTTGGAATTATTAGAAAGCTAATTCTTTAGTGAGGTTAAGTAATCGGAATGCCTAGGTAGAGGTCGCTTCCGATCAATTACGACTTAATCTTAATCTTGACTTAATCATGGTGCATTGCGTGCTAGCTAGCATTCTAGGCCAAGCACCCAACCCATCACTAGCACACAACATCGTAAGGCTGGGTCTTGCTAGCCCGAAGCATCGCACATGCTAGCAGCATGTTGCGCTTAGCTAGGCGGTACGTGGTTGCTAGTCAAGCTTGGCCAGGCATCGCTGCATGTTGTGCTTGTGTTCCAGCGTAGGGTCACCAAGAAGCAGCACGCTATTCGTGCTAGGCATCGCATAACAACAGCCGAGCACCTCGCATAGCAGCGCATATGCAACAACCCAGCATGCGTGTCTTGCTAGCAAGGCGCATGCACAGGCATGCTAGCTGGACAGCCCAGCCTTGGTGCTAGGAGCCAGCTGGCAGCCTTGGCAGCCAAGGCAAGCTGTCAGCCAGCTATGTGGCGTGGTCAGCTGGTAAAGGAGGGGACCAAATGGGTTGATACTTGGCTTGGGGAGCAAGGTGAGTTGGTCCCCCCTTGGTGGTCATCACCTACTCTCTCTCCCTCCTTGTGCCACTTGTAGCTTGTTGATTGAATTGCATTTTTAATTTATTTTGATTAAAATAAAATAAAGGAAAATGCAAATCTCCCACATTAATGGGAGGACGGAGATCAAGTTTCCATTCCCTATAAATACCCAAGTTTTGGGTTTTGGGAAGAACACTTGAGTGGAACTAAAAAGACATCTCCTTAGTAAAGTGGAAAAACCATAAGTTCGTAATACTCTAATTTTTATCGGTCAAGTCCCGACTAACCTTCGGGACTAAGAACGTTTGGGTCGAGTCGAGGGTGCGAGCCGTAGGAGGCCTTCGCACTTGTGAGGCTCGGGCTTTGAAGTAAGAGCTCGTAGATCGAGCGAAGCACGCGTCAAGGGTAAGAATATCTTTTCTTTTTTCTCTCTTTTATGTTGTTAATTATGTGATTAAATAATTAGTTGCTTTAATTAGTGAGTGGGTCTTGGGCGGGTTTCTCTTCCGCGTAGCGTTAGACGCTACGAGACCCAACACATAATAAAATTCTCTTTTTATATTCCAAACTCAATTAAACTTTTAGTTTAATTAAACATGCTCTCAATTATGCCAATAATAAAGCCATGGTTCAATAACAATATTCTATAATCACCAATTCTAATAAATAGATCATTCAAACCAATCATGCTTCATAAATAATTCACCAAATTCATTTCAATTCAACAATCCAATTCAATTCACCAATTCCAACCAATTCCTAGCATTAAACTAACTTGGAACTAATCAAAACATATCCTAGCATGCTTCTACACGCTATATAAAATTCCGAGTACGCGTATGTACCTTGAAAATTCTACTAAAATAGTCATACATCCTAAAACACTTCCCAGACAAAGTCTCCTATATAAAGGGACAATAAAACTACATCAATTACCCTTGTATACGCAATTTCCAACAACTTAAACTCACTTTAAACAACTTATAATAATCTAAAAATTATTTTAAAACCGCTAATTAGCCTCACTTTTAGTGGGTAATTAACCCCTTTCATTAAAATCAATTTACTACTTTAAGCAAAATTCCAGCATTATTGTTTAATAAAAAATCCATTATAAGTTCACCAAAAATACATCTTTATACTTATGATACGACTGTCGCGTGTCTACCAAAAATAAACCTATCTAAAACCTCCTAAAATGTAGTAGGGTAAGCTAGGGTCGATCCCACAGAGAATTAGATTATTAAATTATTACTTGTGTATGTTAAAAACCCCTGATTTGAAGAATGACTATTACGACCTAATATATAAAACTACGGACTTGAAAATGAGCTAAGTACGGAGATATAAAACTAACAGTAACAATAAATATTAAAAATCAAGAATGACAAAATAGGGATCAGGAGATACAATATAGCATTGGAATATCGATTGATCATCGAATTATATAAATCATGTTTTTATCTCAATGTTAGACGATGAACACAAACAAACATTCAACACTTCCCTTAATTGCAAATAAACCAAACAAGCTCTTGGAGTGTTGTCTTACTAACTAACAATCTAGAACAAGCTCTCTAGGCTCGATTAATTTAGCAGCATTAATAACTAGGAAGTAGCTAACTTAAGCCACAAATCTCATGAGCTCAGATTCGTGCAACTTAAAGGGCTGATAATCATAGGCATCGAACAAGCTTCAGTCACCTATCATAAACCTAAGTGCTACTAAGGAGAATTAATCTGGACAATTACGTATCACAAATCAATATTCTAGCAAATAAAACTAGCAAACTATACTAAAGATGGCCGGTCCAAAATATAACTCAACTAATTCATACCAATACACCATATTATCAATCCAATCAAGATATAAACATAATAAGCTTAAATCATAACATTCTTATTCTCACAATACAATAATCCAATGTATACTATATCTATGTACCCACGACTAATCTAGCCTGACATATTGAAAAGTGAAAGTATAACAATGGAAGCTATAAAAATCATATTACTTAAAGAGAATAAGGAGATAAAAATAAACAAGTAAATGAATCTAATATTACTTAAAACAACTCCTTAATCTGATAATACTGAAATGATGAAAACAAAATTAACTTAGTACCAAATCACCAACTATTGAAATACTGCATGCAAAAATCATAAATTAACAAAGGAATCTAGAGTAAGGACTACCAATTTTTCTAGAGTGAAAATTGGCGAAACAACCACGAACAACCAGCCCAGAAACTTTCCCCCAAAGTACAACTTTCAACTTAACGAAATTCCAGCCTGTTTCGTAGCAAACCGAGAGCTACAACCACCTCGATTCCTCCGTCTTACTGTTCTGCTCCCCTCGAGTTTGATGCTGCTGCTTTTCTTCTGGCTCTATTCTGAATTTCTCTGCCCAGCAAGATCTCCAGATAAGCTGCAGAATCTCACCCCCAAATACCCCCAAAAATACGGATCAGAATTCCACCAAGAACTCCCCTAACAGAACAATAAAGAACCTTTTATTCATCTCAGCTGCTCCGAGTATTTCGCTCCTATCCTCAACTGATTCCATCTCTATCTTTTCTTGCTTGACAATTTGATTTTCCGCAAAAATCGCTCTATGGTTTATTTGTGCCTTACCCGCAATAAACAGTAAGAGGAGTTCTCACTGATCTTTTTTTTTTCTATTGTTTTGGCTGAGTAACCAGTTGGTGTACCTCATGAGTTCATGGTCCACTTGGCTATTTGCTATGAAACATTATTGGGTTGACACACATGTGAGTCGATTAGGCTTGTGAGCTTAGCTTTGTTTAATCTAGGAGGTAATAAAATATCAATTTGATATCGTAATCTTCCTTCCTACAAACAAATAATAAAACAGTAGTAAATTGTGTCTTGGGAATAAAATTACTTATAATACTCTTAAATCATTAATTGTCAATATAAAATCAAGAGTTTAATATATATAAATAATATAATTTTGTGACCCTATCAACTTAAATAATCACTAGAATCATTGGGTATATAAAAGCCTCAAATCAATTTGTATAAGAACCCTAAAAAAATCAAATCTTGAATAATTAAAGACCCTAATTTTATAATTTATGAAATCTGAAAAATAAAAAATGTAATAATTTGAAATTATAGTTTTAAATCCTTCAAAACATGGTTTGATACTAATTAAACATATTTCGAACAATTAAAACCAAAACCTATAAATATAATTATCAAGATAATTAGAATAAAAGAGAGGAGAAAGAAGGGAGGAGTTAGGTGATATGGTGGTGGTGGTCGGCTGGTCGCCGGCGGCTGGTAGGCGGCCGAACACCGGCAGTGGGCCAACCTTGGTGATGTGGCAGCACTAAGTGGAATTGGATCCACTTGATCCAATTCTTACGTACAAGGAGGAAAACAAGAGAAAAAGAAATAAGGAAAAAGAAAGGAAAAGAAAGAAAAAGAAAAGGGAAAAGAAAAGGAAAAAGAAAGAGAAAACTAACCTTTTTACTTATTGACTTTGTGTGGGAAAATTTTGGGGATAAATGGAGTATTTATAGTGAAGAGTAGGTTAGGGTAGGTTTTGGCTTCATAAAATTAATATACTTAAACGATAAAATAGTTGGCCCAAATGTAAAAATAGGATGATTAGGTTCATTATGAAAATCAAATACATTCGGATTGAATAATTATTAACCCAAAAATCAAAACTTGTTTACTTAAATCTGATAATTAAAATAATTTAACCTAAAATATATTTTATAAATAAATAAGTAATTTATAAAATACTTTAAAAATACGGGGTATTACACTTAAATTTGGATGCACTTCATGGTGCGGCTTGATGCAGAAACGGACAACTGGTTTATTCTTAACACCTAGAAGGAATATTGGGTGGTTATGCGCAAGCCGTCCAAGTGGCGTGACTGGAAGCACCGATTCTACCGCATCAGAACTGACAACGAAGAATTCAATTTGCGGATGAACCACTTCAACGCCGAGCCTATCCAGCTCGAACCTGGGATGCACAAACCCACTAAGTCGCCTGTCCATCTTGACAACGAATTTCAACTTGACTATTTTAAGGTCAAGAAGGTGGTCAGGAATGGGAAGCTTGTGACCGTGCTGTCTAATTGGATTCCATTGGCCGACTGGCTTAGGAATCCGGTATTCATGTCGGCCTGCGGCCTATACCGAAACTACCCCCAAGGTGAAACGTTGTGACTTGCCCATTCGAATGCTTTTACAACTTGAAAATGTTCTAACACTTCTGTTTTCTTTTCAGACGAAGCTCTTGTGATGTTGGACCCTGAACAAAAAGGAGATACCAACATGTCTGACTTTATCTTGGTGTGGTACAAGTTTTGCCATCAGCAGTACAACCAGGCTAAGGAGATACTGATCACTTTTTTTTTTTTTTTTTTTTTTTGCCGAGCTGGTATGTTGGGAAAGGAATCCTTTCCTACTTCGCTCGGACGCAAGTCTTTTCATTATATTGCCGAGCTGGTATGTTGGGAAGGGTGTCCTTCCCAATTTTGCTCGGACATTGTTTCTTACTTTGGCTTCACACTGTTTTTTTCAAGCGTCCACTCCCAAGACCAAGAGGAAGGAACAGACTTCTGCCTCCAAGGAAAGCCAGTCGTCCAAATCAAGGAAAACTATATCCTCAAAGGCTAAGTCTTCCCCCAAGGTGGCCAAGACCACGCCGCAGACTGTTCTAAGTAGTCTAATGGAGAACAACCCCAGTTGACACCGAGTATGGGCTCCAAGTCTGTGGATCCGCAAGCTAAGGCAATATGAGGAATACGTCCACATGGGTGAAGGGGGAAAGTTGTTGGTAGGCGTGTCGCGTACCTAACAAAAATAACCTAACTATTCCTCCTAACTATGTAGTCGGGCAATTAAGGGTCGAATCCCAAGAGACTAAGGCTCACCTAAATTATCTAACTCAAGTAATCACTAAGCAAGAATCAATCAATATGGAATAAACTAAGAGCTAATGTATAGAAAACTAGAATAAATCAAACGAATATAATGAATCAATAAGCTAAAACATCCAAGATCAAGTATCACCACAATTACGATCGATGCAATTATATATCTACCCCTAACATACAATTCCAATGAACACGGGGAAAAGCTAACCCTAACAAATACCAAGGACCTTTCTCGAGTATCAATGGCTTTTTTTTTTTTTGAGGAGATCGAGTATCAATGGCTTCACTAGTAGAAAATCATAAATTAGCACCGAGGAATTGGCAACGGTTATTATAAATCGGTGCCCCAAAATATAAATGGCATCGGTTAACCGGTGCCCCTTGATTTTTTTTTTATTTTCTAAATTTTTTTAATACAAAGAGCACCGGTTAACCGGTGCTAATGTTATAATGTTATAAGTCGTCCTCTCTCCTTACCCCACTCTTAATTGCATCCTCTCTCTTCTCTGCTCAAACCCTCCTTTCTCTATCTTCAATCTCTTGCCTCCTCTTACTCTATGTCATTCTTTACTCCACCACCGCCCCACTATCTCTTTCATTCTTCTCTCTATCTCTTTCATTCCCAGATCTTTCTTTCTTTCTCTATCTTTCTTCGTAGTAGTAGGGAATTGAGGGTGATGGCGGTGGTGAATGTTGTCGCGACCATCGTAATTGGCGGCGGTGGTGCCTTCCCTTTGCAGCTGTGGTGGATTTTTTCACGAAGGTATGTTGCTCTTCGATTTGAAATCTAGGGTTTCTGATTTTTATCAATTTAAGGTTCAATTTTTTCCTTTATACAAAATTGAATCCTATAGTATGTTAATTGAGCGAGATATTTGACGATTATTTACATGCATGTGTTGGTGAGTTTCCTTTTCCCTTCTATTTTAATCGTGGTGCTGCGAGGTTAGTTGTTGCGTGTGTGGTGCGCTGCTATTGTGTGTTGTGTTTTTTGTGTGGTGCTCTGTTGTGCGGTGTTGTTGTTGTTGAGTGTGGTTGTGTGCTAGGTTGTTCTAGTGTAGTGTTGCGGTGCTCTATGTGCAAGGGTGCATTTCATCTATTCTTGTGGCATATTTACATGTTTATCAAATCAATATGTATCATGAGATCAGAGTGGGGATTTGATAAACTAATTATACTTGCATATACTTTTTTAAGAAAACATTATTAAGTTTTGATTTAATAATAGTGAATCATGTCTTCAACTTGTGTTTATGATTTGATATTTTCAATGCTTTGGCCAGATTATTGCGTGATATATTTAGAGAATAAGTATCATTTTCATTGTGTTGTTATGATATACCTCTTCCTTCATAAAACATACTAGATTGGATGATTTTCAATTAGTTTCTTGTTTAAGTCAGTAGCACTAGATGTACTATATGATTTTGCATATGTTTAGGACAATTTTATGTTATTAGGATAGTTGTTTGTTGACTTATGATAACTGTTTTGAACCTTGTTAAAATAATTTAAATCAAAATTTATAGAAATTATGTAATTTGATTTTGTTTGTATTGTATATTAATCATGTATACATGTATTTGTTCTTTTTCTTCATTTTGTATGTCGTCTTGTATGCTTGGCTTTGTCTTTATTAAATTACTTATGTGCTACATACCACATTTCTAATGTTGTATTGGCAAAATATATGGGTTTTACTGTTGAATCGTGGTGTGGGTTGTTATTAGTTGTTAACATGGAGTGTGCTTGTTTGTTGTAGGGATTGAGTATGAGGTCATGGGCTCCAGCTATACATATAAAACTACTGATAGATGGTGTTTGTGCCTAACAGGATACTAGTATAGTTCTGTGCAATGTATGTGTGTGGGTTGGCAATAGGCAGGGGTGTGGTAGTGTAGTTGCTTGGTGCTTGTTTGGTTTGTGAGTAAAATGTAGTTAGTAAAAGCCAGGTCTAAGTGCATATGCAAGCAACCCTCAGGTGGATGCTGCTAATTCACTAGTTTCTCTCCTAGAGCAAGCAGAAGCTGTTGTTCCCAAGAACTTGCTTGGGAAGACTCCGGTCAGAGTTGGGGTGAGCTATTTAGCTGATTGTTATATTTTTCTAATTGATTGATTGTCTAATAAATTGTTATTTGACAATATAACCTGAAAGAATTGAGCCATTTTCTCTGATAGGCAACCGCAGGTTTGAGGCAACAGGATGGTGATGCTCTTGAAAGAATATTGCAAGAAGTATGTTCTTATTGACCCTCTTATCTGTCACGGATGATTACTTATTAGACTTATTACTTTTTGGTGCATCTCATTATTGATTGTCAAAGAATATTTAACAGAACGATTTTTCTTTTTATGTCTTTTAATTGAAGTTGGTATCTTATTCTACATAGGTCAAGGACCTGCTCAAGGATAAAAGCGATCTGAAATCAGAACCAAACTGGGTCACTGTCTTGGATGGAAACCAGGAAGGTGCATTTCAATGGGTATGTGGTCACATCCTGTGTATTTTAAACTTCTTTTGTTCCATATGCTAAAGTTCCAGTGAAATAGTTTTTACTACATAAATACTATATGTGGGTTCACTTAGTAGAATTAAGGACTAAATTGGATATAATTATGTGGGTTCATTTAGTAGAATCAAGGACTAAATTTGGTACTACTATGTGGGTTCATTTAGTAGAATTAAGGACTAAATTGGGTAGAAAAGTGACTAGTCCCCTCTCTCTCTCTCTCTCTCTCGATGCTAGTCTGGTGTGTTTACCATTTTCCAGTTTTTTATTTTTCCTTTTTCCCTTTTTGTATTGACTAGATTTCATCACATTTTACTGGACATTTTTCCCCCCTGCTACTTGGTGCTTTCTTGAAAAGAATCGTTTCTGCTTATAGACTATGTCAATCTATTGCTGTTTCTCCCTAAGGGCTCAGTGATTGTTAGGTAGTGCCGTTCATTGCTGTACAAGTACTATCCTTTTTCTTTTATATGAGCTTGTGTGTGTTTTTGGTTACTGATGGTTATGCTCATAAAAGGGCATTTTTTTTCGCTTCTTTTTATTTATTTATTTATTTTATTATATATTTTTTTTTATTATTATGGAGCCTAGTTGATTGGTTATAGATTTTGAAAGTACTCTCTGTGCGAGTGTATTTCTCCTCTTAATTTTTTCTATGCATGATGCTAGTTATTAGTGGCTTCAGCATTTGACTTCTTTATGTTAAGCCTCTGGATATTAATTTGTTTTCTTCATTGGTGTGTAGGTAACTATAAACTATCTTTTAGGAAAATTGGGAAAGAAAACTCAGATACAGTGGGAGTAGTTGATCTTGGAGGAGGGTCTGTTCAAATGGCATATGTTGTTTCTGAGAGTGATGCTACCAATGCTCCAAAGGTGTCTGATGGTGAGGAGGCTTATGTGAGGGAAATGTATCAAAAGGGTGTTGTAATTTTTGTTGTCCTTTTATTTTTAATGAAAAGTGTAAATATTTCCTAGTTATTAATGAAAATAAATAAGTTTTCATATATATATATTGTTTGCGGACTATTTTAAGAGGAAAAAAGCAAAAAAAAAAAAAATAAATAAATAAATAAATTATTTTCTTCAAGTACAATGGCACCGGTTAACCGGTGCCAAATGTTGGGAAAAGTAATTTATTTTTTAAAGCATGTAGTTGGCACCGATTAACGGTGCCAAAGCCTTTAGTTGGCACCGGTTAACCGGTGCCAAAGCCTTTAGTTGGCGCCGGTTTTGAGCCAGTGCCAAATTTTTAGGGATTTGGCATCCCTCAAGTCCCCAACGGTTCAAAACCGGTGCCATAGGGGGGGTTTGAACCGGTGCCATTTTACCTTATTCGTCTAGTGCTTCCCTAACCCACAATCAAGCCTATGCTCATGGTATCATGCAAATTAGAGACATTAAACACTTTACTTCAATTCTCAATTATCCGTTCAACTATTCTCATGTTGAATTTCAAATCCTAAATCAATTTACTAAATTCCGTTAAAATCCAACTCTCGTTGTGGTAGAAATAATGGAATAATAACAATACTAATTATCTCTAATATAGCATTGGCATAATCACAATCAATTTAGCATAGACAGTTACAATGGTTATTAGAGAATTTAAAGATTAATTCATGCATCAATCATAATTGGGCTACCCTAGATCTTGGAATAAGAAATCTACTCACACATATTGAAGAAAGCAATAACAATCATAATTATAGAAAACATGATTGAAAAGCATAAATAATTGAAAGAGAAAGGAATAGAGATGAATACCCAATGATGCTTCAATTGAAATTACTCAAATTGTTAATCAACAATACCCAAATCTAACCTAAGAATTAAATTGCTAAAAGGAATAAAACTAAAGTTCTAGTGAGAGAAAGAGCACTTAAGGAAAATCTGAGTAATACACTAATGAAAATTACACCGGGTATTTATACCCTTAATGACCTAAAAATAAGAAAATTAGAATTCGGAGTTGCGCATAATTGTGCCCGGTTTGACCGGGATTGACATGCCCGATCGAGCACATGGTATAAACAACAGCGCTGCTTTCTTCTTTGAACTTCCTCTGCGCCCGATCCAACCGGGCAGGTAGTACCCGTTCAGGTGCGAGGCACAACGTCTACCCTGGCTGCCTTGCCCATCTTCATAATTTTGAACGCCTCCAGCCTCCACGCGCCCGGTCCAACCGGGCGAGGCCTGCCTGATCGGGCGCGTGGCATAAGTGCTTAGAATAGCTTCCTTACTTCAACATTAGTGTCAGCCAACACTCCCTTCTGTGCCCGACCTGACCGGGCATGCTGAGCCCGATCGAGCACAGTTATAAAATCTGCTTTTTGCTTCTTGTTCTTCAAGGATCGATTCTTGTTCAGCTCGGTTTTACATCCTTGTTCACCAACATCTCCAATATCGCTCAAAATGTGTCCGAATCATCCTAGAAACTCCAAGTTCCTGTAAAACTTATGAAATGCACCGAACACACTAGAGAAGATAATGTTAGCGGAAAGTGGCTCTAAAGAGCCTAAAACTATACAAGAATGTAGTGATATGTCGGGAAAAACATATGTATAAAACGTGTATATCAAATTCCCCCAAGCTAAACTCTTGCTTGTCCTCAAGCAACAGTAGACGAAAAAGATAAAAAGGCACCGGTTCAAACCCCCCTTTGGCACCGGTTTTGAACCGTTGGGTATTTGAGGGATGCCAAATCCATGAAAATTTGGCACCGGTGCCAACTACATGCTTTGGCACCGGTTAACCGGTGCCAACTACCATGGAGCGCTTTTTTTTCAATACTATTGGCACCGGTTCAAAGCAAGAGCCGGTGCAAAAAACGACACTTTAGGCACCGATTCTGGTCAAAACCGGTGCCAAAAATACCCCAAAGAAATAAATTTTTTTTTTTTTGCATTGTTTTCACTTAAATTGATATAGAAACATTAACATATATATAAAGTTACATATTTTCATTAAAAAAGGCTGTAATATTACAATTTTTGTCAAAAAAAAAATCAAAGCAAGGAACGAAAATACAGCAAATTAATTAGCACCATGACAAATGAGATTAACTTGGCTAAAAGTGTACTATGTTGATCACTTCACACAGCCTACCTTCCATGAGAAATCTTGTGCCATACAATTTTGGATCATCTCTCTTGAAGCCGGAGTTCCATACGTCTCTATTGCCCTCTTCACTGTTGTTACTACAGCTTGTAAATCAGTTGGATCCACCGTGTCACACTGATATACCATTATACACCAAAATGTCAGCTCTTCAGAGTACAGGAATGATCATTACATTAAATAGTATAAAAAAATGAAATGGGTTGATTTTTTTTAGTTTAGGTTATTGTTACATTTGCACTGAAACGACCCATGTGGAATCCGGTGTAACCTTCTTGTACAGTATTGACAAGTCCACCAGTGGAGGCCACTAGTGGCACCTGATCAATGAAAGATCATAATAGGTCATCATGTTCATATATTGATGTACAAAGCTTCAAAAATAGGATAATTCATTGCATAAAGCTGTCACAAACCGTTCCATAATGCATTGCATGGAGCTGGATTAGCCCACAGGGCTCAAATCTGCTAGGTATCAGCATGTAATCAGCACCAGCTACAATCATATGAGCCAATGCGACGTTGAATTTGGTCACCCCTCTCGCCGTTTGAGGGTAGAGAGCTTCCAACTGTTGAATCTGCTTCTCCATTTCCTTCTTTCCTGTCCCTTACTCCCCCAAAAAAATTATGAAAACAAATCAGAAAAATGGTTTTGCTAAAGAATAAAAAAGCATGTTTGAGGTAAGATTTATTCTTACAAGAACAATAATCTGCACATTTTGCCCGATGAATTGAGGAATTGCTTCTACAAGAATGTCACAACCTTTCTGCTCTTCAAGTCGGCCTATAAAACCAATCAAAGGGATATTCCTGTCCACGGGTAGACCAACGTCAGCTTGCAGAACTTCCTTTATAAGAGGCTTTGCATATGCAACATGAAAGAAGCAAAAACTAACACATTAGGACATTTCATGAAGGTTTACAAAAGCAAAAATCTTGTTTAATGTTACTTACAGTTGATCTATCATAATTAGATCCAACGTACTTATCAGTAGTTGGATTCCATTCCAGCACATCCATGCTGTTCACTATGCCAGTGATTCTAGTCCTCTGAACTATATCATTGAGCTCCACACCTCTCTCAACACTCGATACAATCTCTTGTGCATAGAAAGGGCTCACAGTTACTACACGGTCTGATTCTAAAATACCTGCCTTCATCTAGTTAATTTTCCTTCCCTTTACAAGTTTGTTGTGCCTGTATCATGCACTTAACATTAATTGTGGACTAGTAAATTAGTAATCCGTCCATGCAATGCGATATTTATTAGGTAAGATACTTAACCCATCAAAAATATTAGCACATTGGCTAACAGAACAAACCACCATTCAGCACCATAAACAGCAACATCAGCCAGAGCCCAGCTGCAACACCAAACAGAACCCGAGGCAGCTGCAACAGCAGGGAAGCAACAGCAGCTGAAACTTTTTTTTTTTGCTGACTTTATATTAAATTTTAGAAGCAAATTGTTCCAACAACCAAGCGTACAAATAAAGCAAGTGAAAGCTCACAGCCTGGCTAAGGTCAATACAAATCTACAATATTAATCCCATTAAGACGACCAATATTAGGCCCTAATCATTAGCAAAGCAATGGATGCACCAAAATTCAAATCAGAATACTAAATGTTCAAAAAATACACATACTTACAGAAATATATCCCCATTACAAGGAGTGCAAAATATAAGTAAATGACTTGTGCATTTACCCTATCCGTAGCAAATTCAAACAAAGATGGAAACAGTTGGCTTCCTCTTAGACCAAATCATTTATAGAACTATTAATTTTCAAGAGAAACACGAAGTAACAAACTTACTCTTCGTTGATGTGTCTACTTAAGCAACATAAGCTACAAAAGAAAGCATCATACTATACCACCAAAGAAATGGCTCGTTCACCAAATAACCAAGACCTAAACCCCTAAGTAATTGGTCCACCAATGAAAGATGGGACGGGACTCCAAATTCTAATGATCTATCCATTGCATCATTTCTGAAAATCAGAATAATTCAAAATGACCCTTTACCAATCTTTAGGTTCTACACAAGGTTAGGAACAGGCACTTCTTTTCAGTTGATCAGACATATAACAGGATGGATTAGGTTTGAAGTAATAGAAACTGTATATTAAGATAATTAACAGGACAGAATCAAAGCACCAGCCGTGAACCCCTATATCTCACTTGATAGACTCAACCAGACAACCTAATCAACCCTTTTCCAACATGACTCTCTTAAAAGATTCAACCTAAGATATCAATGGAGCACACTTTTTCTCAGTTGATCGCATTTCACTATCAGTTTAGCTCTTTGTCAACCTTCCTCCATGGCTCAACATTTCTACAATTACCTAAACATCTAAACATCGGTGCACATAACTTGCATTTTATTTTTTTTATATGTTCAATCAGCAAAAATATTTTCATTTCCACAGTTACATTCACAAAGACAATTCTGGACCAGTGCTAGAGAAAATATATATAGCAGGTCCTAATATTCATAGCTGTTTCATCACTCTTTCAGCTCAAAGAAAGACTAATAACAAAAAGAAAGCCATTTGAGAGACCATGGAATAAAAATTACCATATGAATTCCCAATCTCCGTAATACTTGGAACGGAGCAGACCAACACCACACTGGCCGCAAGCAAAAACCAGTTCACAACAGAAATGTAGATCTGGCCCATGAATTTTCAAGATGTATGGATAATTTTAAGTCGAGGAAAGCAGCCAAGTGTAGTCGATTGCTTTTTACATGAAAATGTAGCAGTAGTCGTATCTCGACTAGCAATCAGTGCAGCAATATTAGCAATAATGAAAACAGGCCAAAAGGCACCACCTGAAAAGGCAAATGAACATTTTCTGTTAGTGTTTCTTTTCCTAGTAATGGATAGAACAGAAGAAAGCACTTTTTAGTCTACAGATAACACCCTTACCCTTCATCCAACCCGCAGTAGATAAAAGAACCTAACTTGCTCCAACTATCCCATGCTATTTTAAGGTACCTAGGGTAGTAAAGTCCTAGTGAAAGCTTACACATTGAGTTGCTAATCAGCTGCAAAGAAGAATGGTAAGAACAACCAAAGGGAAAAAAATAATTTCACACACACACACACACACACACGAACACAAACATACAACACTAGCGGCTGATGGGAGCATAGGGACAACAATAGCTTCTCCATCCACATAGGTCATCGAATGAAAATTTACCATAACCAATCTAGCTATCAAAGGCCATAGAATTTGTATTTTACTCACTCACATTGAGTAAACCCAGACAAATTTAATAAGGAGTAATATACATGAGCAGATTTTCCATCCTCCCTGGTTGTCAAAAAGGAGACTATATGGGAAACATTAACCTAAAGCTTAACCAAAGGTAAGAATGGGAATAGGAGGCTAGAACATGCACATGACAAAAAGATTTATAGCAGTAAAACAAATAAAGCTAAGGCTTCTTTCACATCTCTCCAATTTTCATTCTATTTGAGAGAGGTTGCTGTTTGAGTTTGAAGTGCAAAAGAAGCCTGAGATGATATGACTAATGATGCAATGCCCAGAATATAATCATGCCCAAACGTACTTGAATAAATAGTCGAGTTATGGTATAAGGACAAAACATACTAGGTACAGATGAGTAAAATGCTTGGGCGCAATCTCCTGGATTCTGTATGAGGTAAGCTGCCTGGCCAAGGTATCCCAAAAGGAGGCATGGAAATACAAGAAACACAAAAGTGAGATGCAAACAACCAACATAAAATCAGTGAGATATTGTATGATTCAATTTTATAGTCTTATAAAAACAATAAAGCACAGAAAGTGGTAATAACCGAAGCCACTTTACCTGAACTGAACTCACTGAAAAGTAGCAAAGGTCAGCAAACATTGCTTCAGAACCTGGACATCAATTTTTCAAGTAAATTAAGTGATTTTGAACATGGGACAATAGATTTGACAGCACTGCAAAATTAAGATATATGCACAAGGCTCCTAGCAAAAGTAGGGACCTGCCATCTTTTATGACACCAGACTATCAAGCCATTGGCTCACAAGGCTAGTCTTAAATGTGAGATCTCAGATCTTGCAGCAAGCCACTCATTGGATTCGAGAAATCAAAATGCTAGGCTGTCTAAATTCTAATGTTGTACCCCAACATCAAGCAACGACAAAAGGAGCATATATTACCTAATCTGTTATAATAAATTGAATATTTCTAGTCCATTCCCGTCTAATAGCTCAAAAAAACCGAGTCATCTTGATTCTAAATTTCCAAGTGAGTAAGTTTAAAAGGTCATAAGAGCAAATTTCAGATCCAGCCATTTTAAATGAGTGAAGACATTTAAACCAAGAAACAACAATAATAGGAAGAAGTCAATAGTTAGCTAAGCAAGAACCATATGTAATCATGTGTGTGTGTGTGTGTTTGTGGAAGTGCAATACAAAAAAAGAAGTGCAATAATCTACCACGATTGAATTGGGCAAATATAATAAGATCCAGCACAAGATAGGGTAATCATCTCATCAGTAGTATACTAAAAGTGTATACCTGTTGCACAAAGGAGACAACCCTCAAGAGCATACCAAGCCTCTATGTTGTTCCTTTTGAAATAGAAGTAGATGTGGATAGGGTTAAAAGCCTTCCAAACATCTCGATCATACTTCAGCAAGTTGTGGATTCCAATGCCAGCCAGACAGCAGAACCATATAAATAAAGCAGCGCCAACTATGAATCCCATTTTACTGGTACAATATCGCTACAGGCTAAACAGGAGTATGAGAAGTGCCACTGCAACCAGCAATCTTGATCCTCCTGTCTTGAGATCAAGAGCTCTAATAGAGCTACTCTCACTATCCGCAATGTACACCTATTTCATATCTAAATTTATATAAAAATACTAGCGTAGTGAGCTTTTTATAGTTATTGTGACAATAAAACATTCAATCACATAAACAACATATACATTTCGTCGTAATACCTGGAGATAAAGACATTCCAGAAGGCTGTGCAAATGATGTGGACAACGGGCTATAAGGAAAGAAAAAATACAAGGAAAAGCCTTTAAAAACATCATAACAGGAATACAGAACAAGGCAAATATCTACATCTGAATAAATATGAAGGTATACAAGTAAGAAAAATCATCTGGCCATTGCACTCTTAAAATCAAAAGAAAAACTGAGAATTGGAAGACTAGTAAAGAAGATATGCAAATGCAACTATCAAGGGTGAAAAGATTACCTGGTTGTTAGGGTTAGCAATGTTTTTTTTAAAACGAAAAAAAAAGGAAAAACCATTACCTAGTGGTCAGTGGCCGATGCACGAAGGACGGTTGAGGGAACGGAGGGTGGCCGGCGAAGGGTGAGTGGCGGCGGGTAGGACCTACTCTCTCCTTCTCCTACTTATTAAAACCAGAACCCTAAAATTACGAAATTGAAAACCAAATCAACGACAAACCCTAGATTGCAAAGGAATTCAGTAGATTAAGAAGACCACATTACCTTACCTCGAAGCTGCTTCAATGGAGGTTAGAAAGCTCAAGATCGGCTTCAATGGAGAATATAGAGCACGAGTTCAATGGAGGCCAGAGATATGGAGAGAGAAGGAGGTGATGTTTCAATAGAGTGAGAAGGCACGTAAACCCTTCAATGGAGAAGGTGAAATTCGCGATGGTGCGTGGAAGAGAGGGCGAAAACTAGAGTGAAAACAGAAGATGGAAAAAACGGGGGGAAAGAAAGAAAGAAAGAAAGAAAAGCTTACAGTACCCCGGTTTTTTTTTTAATTAGTTGGCACCGGTTTGAACCGGTGCTAATTAAATGATTGGCACCGGTTTTGGTTGGAACCGGTGCCAACACTGATTTTTTCAATCCCGCCCATTTATTTTGGCACCGGTTTTCAAGAACCGGTGCTAAAGGGGGGTGCCTATTTCTTTTTTTCTACTAGTGCAAGGCAATCAACAATAATCAACAACCAAACAACATACTTCACCCCATAATGCGAATATAGAACTCGACTCAATATCGAAATCAAACAAGCATGCATCCTAGCCAACCAATCTAATTACTCAAACCGTCGATCCACCTAATGAATCGTCAAACGAGACCAAATATGTATATTTCAAGAATCGATGACTAGAGTATCTCACATTGGTGGTCACTCAACACACTTTTTATGTGGCAAGCTAAGAATGAGCTAGATCTCTCACCATCCCCACCAACAATGTAATCCCCCCATCTCACAACACTCGCGTGTTTAGAGGGTTATAATATCGCTCAACCTAGTCAATGTTGACTCGAAATGCAACATATACTCCAGGATTTTGACTAAAGACTCGTTTCATATGAACACAACGCTATGCACGAAGATCGGAAGGACTTTTTTAAGCTTGTATCATAGGCCGGGAATAAGAATGGGTAGGAGAATAAATTGCGGAATGTGAGCTGTAATAGTCTAACCGGGGAGCTATCAAATGCAATGAATGACACCTCGATTTACCAATTTCAACAAACAAAACACATACCCAAACCGCAATAAAAACACACCCATCATCTCTTTCACCTACATTCTCAACTTCAAGCTTCTTTTATTTTTTTTTCTTTTCAATCCAACAATTGTTTCCTTCATTTTTTTTTCAAGAACAAGGACACTTCTTTTCTTTTGATTTCAAAACTTGTTTTTTTTTTTTTTTTTTTTTTTTTTGTTCCTTGCTCTTCGACTCTCTTTTTGATCAAATTTCTCAACAAGCCTCCATCCTAATTTCCACCTTTTCTCACTCTTTTTTTTCTTTTTTATTTTTCAATGTTTCACATCAATTGCCACTTGAAACAAAATCACACAAAAATAACGCATAAAATAGCTCCCCCAAGCTAGACTCGGGAAAAGTAACTAAATTGGGGCCAAGGGGTAATTTTTGTGGAGTTTATGAAAAAATAGTCAACCTGCAGCATGGGTGAGCAAGAGGGGAACAAATGTTCTAAGTTCGTCTGAAGGCTACCTAATGAACATGGCCTTCGTCATTTTAACATGCACGTGCAATGCATTACGACACGCTACTGAGAGTCTAAAGTCAAAACTAAGATTAATGCTACACCAGGAACTAAACACACACAAGAATGAATATATAAGGCTCAAACCTCACGGTTAACACAATCAAGCTCCTAAATCATACATGGTTAAATAGCTTTGACTCCTATTAGGGATCAACAAATTCAAGGTCAAATCATGATCTTTTAGTCTACAATGCAAGCCTTTTAATCAACATTGAACCAAAACCTTTTTATCATTAAGGGTAGGGGCACAGGGAAGTAGTTCAATGGCCATTAATTATCATGATTCTCGTATTTTTCAAGTTTTTTCAATTTTTTCAAAATTTTTTTTTTTAATTTTTTTTTTTCGACATACTAATCAAAGAAATTAAAACTAAACTATGAAAGCAAATAAAACACACCAAAAACAATAAAATCAAACAAACCAAAGCAATGAAACTCAGAGAACATACCTAAGCTACTATGCACAAACTTCCCCCAAGCTACACTTGGCAATGTCCTCATTGCAGCAAGTGGGAAGTAGGAAATACCGGAGTTCTCACTCGAACTCATGCTCAGTACCATCATCATCATCATCGCCTCCTCCAGCCGCCCCGCTAATACCTGCAATATCACTAATACCGGAGTAGATATACCACGAGGGATGGTTGGCATCCCACGGGGTATGACCCTGCCTGCAGAAAAAATCATATACAGGGTACATAGACTGACGTAAGTCAGTCTCTAAGATCTGGAATCGACAGGATAGGGTTTGCTGCTCCAGTCTAATCTCCTGCTGACCTAGCCTAAGCTCCCGTATTCCGGCCATGATAGCCTCATGGCCGGTAGGGGGAGGTACATCGGTGGAGGATGAGGATGGGCCACCCTGCTCTCTCCTATGGTAAGTCCTAGTAGGTGCGACAGGGGGAGGTGCATCGCCAAGGGCCTGAAGTAGGTAGGAAGGATGGAAGGGTTGGATCCTCTCGGGGCAGGTCGAGTGATGGACCGCCTAGTGCGCCTGTCTAGTAGCCAGCTATAACCACCATATTCCACCGACAACCTACCGGTGGTGGTGAGGTAGTGCTGGTCCAAGGTGATGGGGCCTGGCACAGGTCGGTTTTGGGCTTCTACGAAGCCCTCCTTGACCGCTAGGTGGGTAACTAAGCCACCTAAGACAATCGGGATGTCGGTTCTGGAACCGTCTGGTTTGAGGGTGGTGAAGGTTGCCCCTTGTTTCCTAAGATGGAGGGCAAAGAAGTTAGCTATATTCATCCTAAACACCTCTCCCTCATCTCCCAACCTAAGGTAGCTACCTAGGATGGCAATCTCATCCGCCCGAACGTTATTAGGCTCAATTCTACCAAAAATAGTCCACCCCGAGGACCTAGTCCACATCCTAAGGGCTGATTGATGGATTTTATGGGCACGGGCGTGTTGCATTGAGTCTATATTCTCTCCCGTAATAGCCAACCACAACTCCCCCGAGGTGAAACTATTGAGTTGCACAGTCAAACCCGTTTAGGGGAGGCCAAACTTCCTACCGAAACCATCTAGGGTAAGGCGGTGTGATCTATTCATCAATCTATATACAACATGTGTTACCAAACCGTCTCTACCCTTTACTACATCAAAAGAACTAAGGAATTCAAGAGTGATGTCTTCAAAAGTGTAATGAATCATGTTAAATAATTTTGTCATGCCAAGTCTAGAGAATAAAGTACGACATTCATTATCAATACCAAACCTAGCAAGAAGAGCTTGGTCTATGAACCGAGTAGGAATTACCTTTCGATGTTGAAGCTCAAGCAACCTCGTCTTTTGTTTTGGGAACTCGGGAACAAATTGGATGTTCGAGTACGCTGGTATGCTCTCTAAGTCCAATTGCGGTTGTGCTTGTGCTCCTCTAGTCCTTTTCCTTGTGAAGAATGAAGCCATGGATGATGATTGAAAGTTTCTCTCTCTAGGGTTTGAGAATGGGGTTTTTGTGAGAAGGGAATTTTGGGTGAGAAAATTGTTGTAAATGCTAGAAAGTGAATAAGGAGGATGAAGGATGAAGAGATTTTTAGTTTTGAGTAAGGATTTATGGAGATTTATGTGGATTGGAGGAGTTAGGGTTTGAGAATTTGGGGGTTTTTAGAGAGAGAAAGAGTAGAGGATGATTCAAGGTGAAAGAAGGAATGAGGAAGGGAAGAGGAAAATCGGGTTTAGAAGGCATGAAATTCGCATTTTTTTTACGCGCCCGATCGGGCGGAGGAAAGTAAAGTCAGCTTGTTTCCTGCCCTGTATGCTGCGTACCTGCTGCTATTCGCGCCCGATCGGGCTGGTAACGCCCGGTCTAATCGGGCAGTGTATTGTTCTATCTGTTTTTTTTTTTAGAGATGATGGAATTTTCAACCACCTGTGCCCGATCAGGCGATAGCTGCCCGGTCTGATCGGGCATAAGGGGTGAAAGTACTTTGCCAAAAAAAAAAAGCAGCTTCTTCCTCCAAGTTCCTCTCGCGCCCGATCGGGCGGGTGCTACCCGGTCTCATCGGGCGAAGAGGATTTCCAATCTTCACTTGCTTCTTCAACGTTGTTGCTCGCACCCGATCGGGCTGGCCTTGCCCGGTTTGACCGGGCATCGAGCAAAACGCTTTGTTTTCCACTTTTGATGAACTCTCTCAACGTCTCGTTCTTCCTATATGCTGATGTTCCCTGAAAAGTAAGAGACGCAACGCAAAACTACATAAAAACACTCAAAGAGATAAAAAAAAAAGAAAAAAAAAATTAAGTGAAATTATACGAAAAAGCGGGTTGCCTCCCGAAAGCGCTTGTGTTTAAGGTCTTTAGCTTGACCATGATGATACTCATTGGATCGGTGATGGGGAAGAGAGTATGATGTCCACTCCTTCGTCGATGGGGTCACCAACTCGGTAATGCTTTACTCTTTGTCCATTGACCTTGAAGGGCTATCCTCTTGCATTTTCTAACTCGACAGTGCCATAGGGATACACCTTCTTGATCTTGAATGGACCCAACCACCTAGATTGAAGCTTTCCTGGAAATAATCTCAACCTAGAATTGAAAAGAAGGACTTGATCTCCTTCCTTGAACTCTCTCCTCACAAGGTTTTTGTCATGCCACCTTTTTGTTTTCTCATTATATAGCTTTGAACTTTCATAAGCTTCGAGACGAAGCTCATCTAGTTCATTGAGTTGTAACAGTCTATTTTCTCCCGCTGCCTTAGCATCAAAATTCAAGCTTTTGATGGCTCAAAATGCTCGATGTTCTAGCTCAATGGGCAGGTGGCATGCTTTCCCGTAGAAAAGTCTAGATGGGGTTGTTCCAATTGGCGTTTTGAAAGCCGTTCGGTACGCCCATAATGCATCCTCTAACTTCGCGGACAATCTTTCCTTGTTCTGGCAACTGTTTTCTCTATAATGGACTTGATCTCTCGGTTAGATACCTCGACTTGGCCACTTGTTTGATGGTGATAGCCAATTCCAAGCCTATGCTGCACCCCATATTTTTTCAACATTGCTTCAAATTGATGTTCTAGGAAGTGTGTTCCCCTGTCACTAATCAACACACATGGTAAACCAAAACGAGGGAAAATGACTTTCTTGAAAAACTTACTTACCACACGAGCATCATTGGTTGGAGTAGCAATTGCTTCAACCCATTTTGAGACGTAGTCAACGACCACTAGAATATATCGGTTTCCATAGGAGGCAGGGAATGGTCCCATGAAGTCTATCCCCCACACGTCAAACAACTCGACCTCGAGTATGTGGTAGAGTGGCATCTCGTTCCTCTTGGATATTGTACCAGTCCGTTGACATCTATCACAGGCCTTGACATAGGCGTATGTATCCTTGAACATTGTAGGCCAATAAAATCCACATTGCAAGATTTTTGCAATTGTCTTCGAAGGGCCTGCATGTCCACCACAGGGTAAGTCATGGCAATGAGAAATTATATAATTTACCTCAATTTTTGGAATAAATCTTCAAATCATAGAATCTGTGCATTGTTTGTACATGAACGGATCATCCCAGAAATATCTCCTTGCCTCATAAAGGAATTTCTTCCTTTGTTAAGAGAAGTAGCCATGAGGCATTGTACCTGTAGAGAGGAAATTAGCCAATTCAGCATACCAAGGTGATTTAGTTTGCAATAAAGCTAGTAAATGCTCTGCAGGGAAAGAATCATTGAAAGGAGTATTGTCCCCATCCTCAGGGTTAAGGAGAAGACGGGAGAGATGGTATGCAACAACATTCTCCGTCCCTTTTGTATCCTTGATCTCTATGTCATAATCCTGTAGTTGAAGAATCCATCAAATCAACCTAGGCTTTACAAGGGTTTTGGTCATCAAGTACCTCAATGCTACATGATCTGTATGAATAATAACCATAGAGCTAACCAAGTAAGAATGAAATTTGTCAATTGCATATATTACATATAGCATCTCTTTTTCAGTTGTGGCATAATTCATTTGAGCAGAATTAAGAGTTTTTCTAGAATAATAAATGGCATGAAGCTTTTTCTCCTTCCTTTGCCCCAAGACGGCTCCTACTGCATAGTCACTAACATCGCACATGATTTCGAACGGCAGGCTCCAATCTGGGGGTTGCATGACAGGAGCAGTGATCAAAGCTTCCTTCAACCCGTTGAAAGCCTCAAGACAAGCATCAGAGAAAAGAAAAGGAACATCCTTAGCTAAGAGCTCAGTTAGAGGTCGAACGATTTTCGAAAAATCCTTAATAAAACGACGGTAAAAACCTGCATGACCAAGGAGACTTCGAACTCCTTTAACAGAATTCGGAGGGGGTAAATGCTCTATGACCTCTATCTTAGCCTTATCAACTTCAATACCCTTGTTTGATACAACATGACCTAAAACAATTCCCTGTTATACCATAAAATGGCATTTTTCCAAGTTTAGAGTCAGATTGACTTCTTTACATCTTTGGAGCACTTTTTTCAAATTTTCAAGGCATACATCAAAAGATGTTCCATAGACAGAGAAATCATCCATAAATACTTCCATAGAATTTTCTATGAGTCTGAGAAAATTGCCATCATACATCTTTGAAAAGTGGTAGAGGCATTACATAATCCAAATGGCATCCTGCGATATGCAAAAGTGCCATATGGACATGTGAAATTAGTGTTTTCCTGGTCACAAAGACGGATGGGGATTTGGAAGAAACCATAATATCCATCCAAGTAACAGAAAGAGGAATGATTTGCCAACCTTTCAAGCATTTGATCAATAAAGGGTAAGGGGAAATGATCCTTAAGGGTGGCCTTATTTAATTTTCTATAATCTATACACATTCGCCACCCTGTAACAATTCTAGTAGCCAATGGCTTACCCTTGTCATTCTTGACAACGGTCATACCTCCCTTCTTTGGTACTACTTGTACAAGGCTAACCCACTTATCATCAAAGATAGGGTAGATTATTCCTGCAGCAAGCAATTTTAGAACCTCTTTTTTCACTACCTCCATCATATTTGGATTAAGTCTTCTTTGAGGTTCTACAGAAGAGGCATGATCGTTTTCAAGAATAATTTTATGCATACAAAAAGAAGGGTTAATACCCTTAATATCATCAATGGTGTACCCAATTACACTTTTATATGTTTTTAGAACATTGAGCAATTGCTCCAATTCTGTGTCCTTGAGTTCAGCATTAACAATAACAGGGTATGAATTATTAGGACTAAGATATGCATATTGTAAATTAGAAGGGAGAGGTTTCAACTCTACCTCGGGAGGCTTAGTACTCTCCCCAATACTCACTGCACTAAGTGTTTCTCTGATTGGATTAGCGATTGGGTTGGCCTTTGCTTCTTTAAGCAGCCTGGCATATTCTCTTGCTTCCCAATCTCCATCACCATCATCCTTTCCTACTAGCACTTGTTCCTGTGCATCATCTGGGTTGCTCAAAGGAAACTGCTCACTCTGCAACTCGTCAAGTATATCAACCTGACAAACAGCGTCTCCCATAGAGGGAGTACCCATAACATTCAAAAGTGAGTATTCCAATTTTTCATCACCTACTTCAAAAGTAATCTTACCCTTCTTCATGTCAATGATTGCACCTGCAGTAGCTAAGAAAGGTCTACCAAGTATAATTAGAACATTCACATCTTCCTCCATTTCCATCACAACAAAAACACAAGGAATGAAAAATTTACCTACACGAAGAGGTACTTCCTCAAGCACACCCAAAGGAAATTTGACTGACCTGTCTGCAAGTTGCAAGGATATGCGTGTGGGTTTGAGTTCACCCATTTATGGCTTCTTACAGATGGACAGCGGCATGAGACTTATACTTGCACCAAGATCACATAGTGCCCTGTTGATTTCAATATCTCCAAGCTTCACTGGAATTGAATAACTACCTGGATCACCTAATTTCTTAGGTAGAGTGTTCTGCAAAATAGCACTGCACTCTGCATTCAAAGCAACTGTAGAATTCTCTTCCAACTTTTTCTTGTTAGAAAGCATATCCTTTAAAAATTTAGCATATGAAGGCATTTCGGATATAGCATCTAAAAACGGAATATTTATATGAAGCTTTTTAAAAATGTCAAGAAATTTACCGTACTTTTTCTCAAGTATAGCTTGGGCTAACCTTTGAGGAAAAGGAACTTTAGACACATATGGAGCAAGTGGCTTTGGAGTTGCATCCTTTGCTTCATCCTCGACCTTAGCATTGTGAATCTCCTTCTCACCTTCACCTACTTCTTCAACGACCTCCTTTGATGGCTCCTTGATAGGAGGATCTTCCAATTTCTTTCCATTCCTCAAAGTAACAACATTCATGTGGCCTTTTTGAGGTTGCTCTGTCTGGCCCGGAAAAGTCCCTGGAGTCTTTAAAGATTGACCAACTTGATGAGCAAGTTGGCTTATTTGGTTTTCCATGAGCTTACTCTGGGCTTGCAACTATTGGATGGAGTTACCGTGTTGTTGGATGGAAATATTGGTTGTGGTAATGAAACTCTCCATCATCAACTCAAGGCTAGATTTTTAGGGGAGTGGTTGCACTGGTTGTTGGTTCATAGGCGGTCTTTGTTGGAAATGGGGTGGTGGTTGGTTGTAGTTGTTGGGTGATTGTGGTGGTGGATTTTGTTGTTCTTGGGTTTTCTTGTAGGAGAAGTTGGGATGGTGTTTCCAACCTTCATTGTAAGAATTAGAGTAGGGATCATAGGGCTTTTTGGAATTTTTGAAGAGTAGAAAGCATTTGCCTGTTCAATTGACATCTCACTCGAGTTCTGTGGGCAATCGGGTGCAATATGGCCGTGCACATTACACAACTGACAAACCTCCTGTGGGCTAGTAGAAGTTCCAGCTTGGAGCTTATCAAACCTGCTTGTTAGTGCCTGCACAGAACTGGTTAACATAGTCAAAGCATCTACATCAAGTTTACCTCCTTTTTTCACATTGTGACGACCTCCTGGATGGTAGTTATCGTTAGCCGCCATTTTTTCTATTAGTCCTTGACTTCCATTAGATTCTTGGTCATGACCAAACCTCCGGATGCAGCATCTATGTATATGCGAAATTCATGAGTCAACCCATTGTAGAATGTTTGGATTAACATCCACTCTAGGATGCCATGATCAGGGCATTGTCTCTGTAGCCTCTTGAATCTCCTCCAAGCCTCATAGAGAGACTCGTCATCTGACTGTCTGAAGGTGGATAGCTCGTTCCTCAACCTAGTTGTCTTCTCCTGTCCTAGAAACTTCACTAAGAAGGCCTTCACTAGCTTGTCCCATGTGTCGAACGAGCCAGTGCCTTCATCTCTCAACCACTCCTTTGCCCTATCCCGCAATGAGAAGGGGAAAAGGCGAAGTCTAATAGCATCATCTGTTACACCATTCATTTTCATTGTGTCACATTTCTCTAGAAAACTATCAATATGACTTACCGGGCAATCATGCGGTAGGCTTGCGAATGAATCATTGGAGATAAATTGAATGAATTGGGGCTTAAGCTCGAAGTGTTGAGCCGTCACAGGTGGCCTGACAATGCTAGAAAGGAGTCCGGTAGTCGTATCAGGAATACCGTACTCCAAAAGGGATTTGGTAGCATCTTCCATGTTTCTCCTACGTCGATTCCTTGTTCTCCTTCTCCTTATAGTTGCCTCAATCTCAGAGTCAAATTTTTCAAGATCTTTTGACCCTGAGCGTCGTGTGGGCATGCAACAAGAAAACTAGAGAAAGAATATCAAAAACACAAGAGAAAATAGCCGAAGCAACGAATAAAGCTTAGCAAAAACGAATCACAAATAATCAAATGAAACCGTTAGTCCCCGGCAACGGCGCCAAAATTTGGTAGACGTGTCGCGTACCTAACAAAAATAACCTAACTATTCCTCCTAACTATGAAGTCGGGCAAGTAAGGGTCGAATCCCAAGAGACTAAGGCTCACCTAAATTATCTAGACTCAAGTAATCACTAAGCAAGAATCAATCAATATGGAATAAACTAAGAGCTAATGTATGGAAAACTAGAATAAATCAAACGAATATAATGAATCAATAAGCTAAAACATCCAATATCAAGTATCACCACAATTACGATTGATGCAATTATATATCTACCCCTAAGATACAATTCCAATTAACACGGGGGAAAGCAAACCCTAACAAATACCAAGGACCTCTCTCGAGTATCAATGGCTTCCCTAACCCACAATCAAGCCTATTCTCATGGTATCATGCAAATTAGAGACATTAAACACTTTACTTCAATTCCCAATTATCCGTTCAACTATTCTCATGTTGAATTTCAAATCCTAAATCAATTTACTCAATTCCGTTAAAATCCAACTCTCGTTGTGATAGATACAATGGAATAATAACAATACTAATTATCTCTAATATACACTACACGAAAAGAGCAAAATGGCAACGGTTCAAACCCCCCCAAAGGCAACGGTTTTGAACCGTTTAGTATTTGAGGGTTGCCAAATCCCAAAATAATTGGCAACGGTTCAAAACCGTTGCCAACTCAAGCAATTGGCAACGGTTAAACGTTGCCATTGACCATGGCGCCCTTTTTTTAAAAAAAAAAAAAAATAATTGGCAACGGTTAACTGTTGCCAATTGCTTGACTTGGCAATGGTTTAATAGTAATAATAATAATTATTATTATGATAATATTAACAATAATTAGTATTATTAATAACAAAACATAAATAATAATAACAATCGCAAGAGAAGATATAAATTAGAAAAATGTTTCATGTATAGTACATAATTAGTAAGCTAGGGCTAGGATTGATGAAGTAGCTAACTAGTAAACGATATTTGCAAATTAAATGTGATGTAGGTCGCCAACATCTCCCGAATTACATCGAATTCCTCGCTCGTATATGGCTGTCCAGTTTGCCTCTTGCAAAACTTAGAATACGCAAAACGTGAGTTAGTAGAAGTGAATTAATAATAATCGGGGTTAGTTAAATGTGACTAATGCTTGAGATTACAAGAAAAGAGCAAGTAAGTGGTTTTGGGATGCAATTTCAACCAAAATGGCAAAAGTAAAGCCATTTTGGCTACTAGGATGCCTATTTTCTATATTTCTTGTCTATTGAACTCATAACTAGTAAACCCATGTCATAATCACTTAGTTATAGGTGTCTAGTACTTGATATTACAAGAAAAGAGCAAGTAAGAGGTTTTAGGACGCAATTTCAACCAAAATGGCTCAAGTAAGGCTATTTAGGCTACTACGATGCCTATTTTCTATATTTCTTGTCTATTGAACTCATAACTAGTTAAAACATTTCATAATCACTTAGTTATAGGTGCCTAGTGCTTGAGATTACAAGAAAAGAGCAAGTAAGAGGTTTTGGGACGCAATTTCAACCAAAATGGCTCAAGTAAGGCAATTTTGGCAAGTAGGATGCCTTTTTTCTATATTTCTTGTCTATTGAACTCATAACTAGTTAAAACATGTCATAATCACTTAGTTATAGGTGCCTAGTTCTTGAGATTACAAGAAAAGAGCAAGTAAGAGGTTTTAGGACGCAATTTCAACCAAAATGGCTCAAGTAAGGCCATTTTGGCTAGTAGGATGCCTTTTTCTATATTTCTTGTCTATTGAACTCATAACTAGTTAAAAAATTCCATAATCACTTAGTTATAGGTGCCTAGTGCTTGAGATTACAAGAAAAGAGCAAGTAAGAGGTTTTGGGACGCAATTTCAACCAAAATGGCTCAAGTAAGGCCATTTTGGCTAGTACGATGCCTTTTTTTATATTTCTTGTCTATTGATACTATAACTAGTTCAAACATGTCATAATCACATGGTTATAGGTTCCTAGTGCTTGACATTACAAGAAAAGAGCAAGTAAGAGGTTTTGGGACGCAATTTCAACCAAAATGGCTCAAGTAAGGCCATTTTGGCTACTACGATGCCTTTTTTCTATATTTATTGTATACTGAACTCATAACCAGTTAAAACATGTCATAATAACTTAGTTATAGGTGCCTAGTGCTTGAGATTACAAGAAGAGAGCAAGTATGAGGTTTTGGGACGCAATTTCAACCAAAATGGCTCAATTAATGGCCATTTTGGCTAGTAGGATGCCTTTTTTCTATATTTCTTGTCTATTGAACTCATAACTAGTTGAAAAATGTCGTAATCACTTAGTTATACGTGCCTAGTGCTTGAGATTACAAGAAAAGAGCAAGTAAGAGGTTTTGGGACGCAATTTCAACCAAAATGGCTCAAGTAAGGCCATTTTGGCTAGTAGGATGCCTTTTTCTATATTTCTTGTCTATTGAACTCATAACTAGTTACAACATGTCATAATCACTTAGTTATAGGTTCCTAGTGCTTGAGATTACAAGAAAAGAGCAAGTTAGAGGATTTGGGACACAATTTCAACCAAAACGGCTCAAGTAAGGCCATTAAGGCTACTAGGATGCCTATTTCTATATTTCTTGTCTATTGAACTCATAAATAGTTAAAAAAATGTCATAATAACTTATTTATAGGTGCCTAGTGCTTGATTTTACAAGAAAAGAGCAAGTAAAGAGGTTTTGGGACGCAATTTCAACCAAAATGGCTCAAGTAAGGCCATTTTGGCTAGTAGGATGCCTTTTTTCTATATTTGTTGTCTGTTAAACTCATAACTAATTAAAAAATTTCATAATCACTTAGTTATTGGTGCTTAGTGCTTGATATTACAGGAAAAGAGCAAGTAAGAGGTTTTGGGACACAATTTCAACCAAAATGGCTAAAGTAAGGCCATTTTGGCAAGTAGGATGCCTTTTTTCTATATTTCTTGTCTATTGAACTTATAAATAGTTAAAAAATGTTATAATCACTTAGTTGTAGGTGCCTAGTGATTGAGATTACAAGAAAAGAGCAAGTAAGAGGTTTTGGGACGCAATTTCAACCAAAATGGCTCAAGTAAGGCCATTTTGGCTACTACGATGCCTATTTTCTATGTTTCTTGTCTATTAAACTCATAACTAGTTAAAAAATGTCATAATAACTTAGTTATAGGTTCCTAGTAATTGAGATTATAAGAAAAGATCAAGTAAGAGGTTTTGGGACGCAATTTCAACCAAAATGGCTCAAGTAAGACCATTTTGGCTAGTAGTATGCCTTTTTCTATATTATTTGTCTATTGAACTCATAACTAGTTAAAATATGTCGTAATCAGTTAGTTATAGGTGTCTAGTGCTTGAGATTACAAGAAAAGAGCAAGTAAGAGGTTTTAGGACGCAATTTCAACCAAAATGGCTCAAGTAAGGCCATTTTGGCTAGTAGGATGCCTTTTTTCTATATTTCTTGTCTATTGAACTCATAACTAGTTAAAAAATGCCATAATCACTTAGTTATAGGTGCCTAGTGCTTGAGATTACAATAAAAAAGAGCAAGTAAGAGGTTTTTGGACGCAATTTCAAC